CCTCGGGGCGAACGACGAGCTGATCCCCTTCCAGGACGAGGGGGGCGAGGAGCAGGAACCGAGCAGCGACAGCGCCTCGGCGCAGCGGGACCTGGACGAGGTCAAGTCGTCCCTGGTCAACGAGTCGGAGAACCAGAGCAGCAGCTCGGACTCGGAGGTGAGGAGGCTCCCGCGGCAGATCCCGGGGACCTCGAACCGGCTCCCGCTCACCCGCCCTCGCCTTTGTGTCTCCTCCGCAGGCAGAGAGGCGCCCGCAGCCCGCCCGGGACTCTTTCCAGAAGCCGCGGGACTATTTCGCCGAAGGTACGTGCCGGCCCCGGGCAGCCCCCACTCCCGGGCTCCGTTGCGCTCGGCCGCCCAGCTCTGGCCGCCCACGGACCCCCTGCTCGCCGTGGCCGTGCCCCCAGCTCTCCTCCCCTCTTGGCCGTAGCCGTCCTGGGGCGCGCGTGGGGGGCGCCCGGCTCCCGAGGCCCCTGGCGTGGCGCTGTCCCGGGGGCCGGGACCTCACCCCTGCCTCGCTCTCGTTCGCAGTGAGGAGGCCCCAAGACGGCGCGTTCTTTAAGGGCCCCCCTTATCCTGGGTACCCCTTCCTGATGATCCCGGACCTGAGCAGCCCGTACCTCCCCAACGGACCCCTCTCTCCCGGAGGAGCGCGCACGGTGAGTGCCTTTCGTGCTGCGTCGTGGCTGGTGGGACGCCAGGCCGGCGGGATGCGCCCCTGGGCTCTGGGTCGGGTGGGGGATGGGGCGGCCGTGAGGTTCCTGGGCAGAACTTGTTTGCGAAGTTGAACTGCTCGGTGGCGGCCGAGCGTTGCGCTGCTCTGGTCAGTGCCTGGATGAGAGTAAAGTTCCTTTAGTTCTCTCTTTCTGGGGCTAGCGAATTTGGTGTTCACTTCTGGGGTCCTTCTTGGCCTCCAGGATTCTTGGCTCGCTTTAAAGGAAAACTTGGATTTGTGCCGGCTTTTCGGGGGGAGGGTCTCAGCCTCCTTCCTGGAAATCGGTGGGCTTTCCCTGGCAGTTGGGTAGGGGACTGGGGGAGCTGGGTTGGCGACGTTGCCCGGACTCCAGTTTCACTGGGCGGCTGCGAGTTTGTTCCTAAGAAACCTGGTATTTGTGGCGGGTTGCTCGCAGCCCCTCTCCCCGCCCCCAGCCCTCGCGCGGGGGCCTCCACTCTTCAGTGGAGTTCGGGATTTAAAACTTGCCCGAGATGATTTCGAGGGCGACCCAAGGCATTCTTCAAGTTTAGGAACTTGGCTTTCCCCCCACCCCTTTTGTTGCCGGCTTTTTTCATTTAAAGCGAGCGCTGCGACACTTTAAACCTGTTAATGGGCGCGCATTGTGTGCTGCGCGCTGGCATTTAGAGCCGTGATTAAGCAAATTGACCGGGCCCCAGACGACGTGCAAATGAGGGTGGATTCCTTCGCCCCCTCCCTGGCTCTAAACTCCCGCCCCCCAGCGTTGCGCGAGGCACGGCCGGGGCTGGAGAGGCCTTTGTGTCCTCGGAGCCGCCACCCCACCTAAGGACCTCTGCCCAGGTGCTAGGGCCGGCGGTCGCTCCTGCACGAGTCCCTTCTTCCCAGCTCGTGTGTGCCAGTCTTTCTGCGCGCCGCCTCTGGGGTGTCACACGCGTGGTCGTGGTTCTCTTTGCTTCCCGCCCAGCTTCCCAGTGTCTGCCAGTGCGTTTGGATGGCGGGCGGGAGGTGTTGTCGTCTTAGAAGCAGCCTGACAAAGTCACTTCATGCTCAAGTTGGTTTTAAATAATGCTCCTAATTAAAAGGTCGCCTGAAAACGCTCGGTGCAGAACGGGCGGTCCCTGCTGTCAGGGTACAGCAGTCCCAGAGTGAGGCATCTGTGTTGGGTTCACTGGAGGTGCTCTCCTGACTGGTTTGTGGGAGTGGAGAACAAGGGCTGTGACCAAGGGAGTGAGGCGTGGGACCGCGCAGCCCACACCGTCCTTTCAAGCAGCGAAGACCCTGAAACTGTCCCTGTTGGAACACCTCTCCTAGGAAGTTCTGAATGGATGCTGAATGTGGCATCTGGCTGTTGCTTTTTCTCTTTCATACTTACAGGGGAAAAAAAGGTGAGAGTGAAAGTTGTGCAAAACAAGCCATTGCCTTTGGTTAGGTTTTCCCTGATTCACTTTCGTGTCTGCAGGTGCACTTTATCTCTGAAAGTCTTGGTAAGGTTCCTGTGACTGTGAGAGTCTGGTCATGCTTCTAAAGTTCCCATTTTCCTATATCCCGTTAGGCATCTGGAAAGAGCTGTCTGGGAGGCGGTAATGTCTCTGTCAGCTGGGGCATAAAGTCAGAATTGACCAATTAGTTTCCTCGAGTGGACTATTCCATCTTACCTACCCATTTTTCTTTAGAGCAGTTTGATTCTTCCTCTTTGATAAGTGCCTGTCTTCATCTGTCACCCTTTGGGTATGCCGAGGTGGGACAGTCCCTTCCTTCCTTTTTTCTACCATCTTTTACCTTCCTTCTATCATCTTTCCTGTTCTTTTGCCAGAGAACTTCCAAAGGCTTATTCTTGCTGGTGATGGGGATTCTTGATGACTAAATCCAGGATGTGTGGGATTTTTGGAGTTCTTGGGGAAGCCAACTTTTATCCTCTGCACGCATCTGACTGTCCCTGTTCATCTTGCAACTGTCCTCTGCTCAGGCCTAAGTAGCCATCCTCCTTTCAAGCCTCCAAGGATATAGTCACTCTCGTAGTCTACCCTTTGTAAAGGACTTAACACGCCTTGTCCCACTCCCTTGTCTCCCTGATGAATTACCCTTAAAGAATTAAGTTCAATTTCCCCATTGTTTCTGTGCCCCCGTGTGTCCATCATTGTATAAGTCCTGCCTGGTTACAAAGTTCGTTGATGTAAGAACCTACTAATTAGACACTCTCCTTGATCATCACGGCCAGCTAAGAGTAAGCACCTGATTGTCTAGATAGTAGAGTTGAGATGATGCTTTTCTTCTGCATGATTATATTTATATAATTAATATGAGTCTCACTGCAGTCACACTTTAGGCACAAAGGAGCCCTCTGTTGGGTTTTCAGCCTGGTAAAATGAATATAGATATGGAGTGGAGGTAATGGAAAGGTTCTCTGGGGTGGGGGTGATATCTGGAATAGATGGGCTGGTTCCTTAGTTGGTACCAAATCTTCCTTTTGTTTTACTTTTTATATTTTACTTATTTTGAGGCTCTCATACCTGTCAGTGGTATAAAATTGGATGACTTCAGTCCTCTGCCACACTAATGCACTTTCTGGAAATACCAAGCACGAATTGAAAGGATTGACTGGGATGTTTTCAGGGAGTTAATTGACCCTAGGAATGACAAGTAACTGAACTGCAGCACCCTCACCCCTTGGCCTAATTGCGGCTGGGAAAATGGGGGCTGGCCAGCCTTATAGTCTGGTCATCTCCTCCTGATGTATTACCTTTGCCCTCCTCTCTGGTTTGGCTGGGAGGCTGGGAAGTGGCCTTTTCCTGAGGCTCTTTGGAGAAGAGGTTCCCCTTAACCTGGGGTGTGTGCCAAGCCTCTGTGCTGTGATTCATCCTCATTGGAGCCCTGGGGGACCCTGCAGCCTATGCAGAGCGGAATAACACCCTCTCTCACTACAAATAGTCACCCCCAAAAGATACCTTAATTCATGAAAAGGCTTTATGAGTTGACAAAAACAGTCTTGGTGCTGTTGATTAAAATTTTGTTAAAGAAATATAAGTCAACACACAAGAAATTGAAGGTCACAAATATCCTAAGGTTAATAAGTGCTCAAGAGAAAATGTTGAATGTGGTTATGTGAGCTACCTAGAAATGGTTTGGCTGTGGGTCACAGCAGGAGAGCTAATGATGTTTTGGAAGAGGACTTCTCAGTAGAGTTACTAAGGGAGTCTGAAGTTTGTGTCCAGTTGATAAATTTGGGACCCACTGCTGAATAACTCAAGCACCAGTTCCTTGCACCTTCTCAAACCCTCCTGTCTCATATTTCTGCATGAAATTGTTCTGTCCTTCAAATGCATGCCTATTTTGAGTCCATCATATCCCACTGTTTCCTTGAGCCGACATACTGGATGTTCTTTTATTTCTTGACATAAAACCGAGGGGCTCCCTGGTGGCACAAGGGGTTAAGTCTCAGCACTATGAAGCTCTCCTCAGCCACTGCAGCTTGAGTTCCATCCCCAGCCAGGGAGCTAAGGTCCATGGCCCAGCAGACCTCTCCTGACCCGCCCACTACTCCCCTCAACAGTGTATCTCAGTAGATCTGCCTGTTCTGCTCCCCGCTCTGTTTTTGGTGAATCTCTCAACACCCCCACTCCCCCAACGCTGGCCTGCACTCCAGTTCTTATATTCTTATATGCATAAATAAATAAACCTTCTTCTTCTTCTTCTTCTTCTTCTTCTTCTTTTTTTTTCAAAAGAAGCCCTAGCATAAATTTTTGTATGTCTTGAGAAGTTGTCTGTTTTTACGGGTTATATGTAAAAGCTAAGTAAAACCTTTTCTTCTGGAAGATAGTATAAACATGCTGCTTTTGGTAAAATTCTTTTAAGCCATTTCATCTAAATATAACTTCTGTTCCATTTTTTTTTCCTCTAAATATAACTCAGGGTTTAATGAGGGCTTTTCACATGGAATGAGCTTTTGTGAGGTCCCTGTCTGTGTTGCTGAAGTTTTGGCACTTGTATTGCTGGTATGACCGTTGGTGACAAACTGTGGAGGGACAGGTCCCTGACAGTCTTTTTTATCTTTGGTAGATGAAACTGTCAGGGGACTCCTGACTGACCCTGTTGTGATTTTGGAAATTTATAATGCACACACAATCTACTGTTAACGTAGAACATTTCAGCCTTTAGGAGATGTGATGTGCAAAGTTACAAAAAAAAAAGTGGAATATAAAAGATTTTCACTGATTAGATTTTTGAGAAGTCTAAAGTGCAAAAATCTTGCTTATACTACAATTTGGAGACAACTTTTACTTGCTCAACTGGGGGAATTTAGACTGGCATCCTTAAAATTAAGATCTCACTTGATTTGATGTTTACTGAGGCTCTGTCCTAGGCATTGGCTAAAAGGACTGTGGGAGATGGGATGAATCAGACCCCACTTTGCCCTAAAGGGTTTAAAAATTGAATTGGGAAGACATAGTTTAGCACAAACCACCATACTAGGAAGTCTTTGTTAGGAGTCATTAATGTCCGGAGGAGAATTTTCAGAATAAAGAGAATATAAAAATGACTTTGGACTGACTTGATTAAGATGCCAAGTAGAGGAACTTGTTTTAAGTTAGTTCTTGAAACTCAGTCATTCTTTAATTCAAAATTATTCTTGTTACTTATACAAAATGTAAACAATGCAGAGGTGCGTAGGGTGGAAAGTGGAAGTCCTTTATTCATTCCGATTATGGCCTAGAAACCCGCATCAGGAGAACAAAATGAAAAGTTCAGTGGTATGTGAAGTGATATAAGTTACTCTGTTTGCGTCAGAAGCATAAGGGGTTGCGGCCTGGGATGCCATTGAAGTACCTGGTCTTATTCAGGAAGAAACTGAGAAACCTCAGAAGTTATCCTGGGACATGATGTGACGCAGACATGTGCTTAGAAAGAAACTAATGACTGGAGAGGTGAAGCTAGAACAGTGAGAAGACTCACAGGTGTCCAGAGTGT